TTAAAAATGTTTCTTTAATAAATTCTCCATCACTGAGGGCTTTTCCATGCTGAGCTATGGAGTGAGCAATACAGTAACTTGCTGATGTAAAATTTGTAGAGCATTTTACAAATTTAATGATGGAATTTGATTGACTTCTATAGAGGTGTAGCTGCCCAGAAATGTATTCCTTCCTTTCATCGACACTTCTTTTCAAGAGCTGACTATGATTTGTTTCAAAATGTCTGTTTACATTCCACGTTCTGCTCACTACCGTTTCATTACACATTATGCACAATGATCTATTGTTTCTGTCGATAATTCAGTACAGCTCGGTCCATATGTCTTGAAAAGGCTGGCTACTGCTACTCCCACTTCTTTTATCATTCAATCTTGCGTTTTCTATTTTTTGATTCTCCATTACAAGGCTGTAAAAATAAACATAAATCACGACGTTTTTTAATAAAAGGTTGATAGGTTTCTTACCAATTAACTTTTTGCAATGTTGTTGCACTGACCCCTGATACAAAATAATTTAAAGATGTTTGTAGAACCAACAAATATGTATTTTACGTCATATGCAAAATATCTCAACAAGTACTGTTGCACTATATATCTGGCGCGGACATATGGCAGTAGCATGGCGGAGACGTGGCGCTGACCTTATCTGCTAAAATTAATAGAAGTGGTGGCAACGTGGCGAAAATACATCTGCACCCAACGATTATAAAATATTATCTGATTCTGACTAAGATATTTTAGCTCGTATTCATTTAAATAATAATCAAGAAAAAAGTTTTAGGTTTATAGTTGTAAAAGAGAAAATAATATGACAAATATTTGAATTATTCAATTTTTCATCTGTCAATGCGTGTCACCCAAAATGAGCTCGTGTGTCACTTCTGACACGCATCATAGGTTCGCCATCACGGCTATAGAATAGGCTAATGAAACTAGATTTCAAAAATATTAAAAATAATCAAATTTAAAATTATGACACTTACGTGTTGCGGCGTTATTGACAGCGATTTGTTAAATTTCAGATATGTTCGCTAGTACTTTCAACAGTTTACGACTGTCGTCTTCAGGCGAAATCGAATACCTTTGTTTTCGAATTGATAGCTTTTAACGGACTTTTCAAATTACGTAATGCACGAGATCGGAATGTAGAACAAATTAATAAAATTGAATTAATAAATATTTTTTNTTTAATTTCTAAAGGCTGGCATGAAGTGAACTATATTTTCATTAATAATCAAATTTAATTCACACATTCATAATTAATTTTTCGAAAAATCCCCCCCACGGGGGAAGTGTTATACATTTATAGTAGATACATTTTGAGTCACAACAACATGTGGCGGGGTCTGCTAGTTATTTTTATATATTTAATTTGACTTATTTCATAAAGTTCATATTAAATGTGTTAAAATTTTTATGTAGGATAAACAATTTGGAAAGGTTTCTCTTCATCGTCCGCATGATAATCCACCTGCAGAAGTACATACTAGTCTTAGAGCATATAAAAATTATTTGTTATCAAAAGCTTATAAAGGAGAGACATTTTTTTGGTCTTTATTACCACAACCAGGAGATAATGTGACATTTTATTTTAATCCATCTATTAAAATTGAGAAGTAAGTTATTTTAGTTTGTAAACTATATTTATACTTAGTTCATTATTTTCTGTGTTATAAAGAATACAGTATATTAAATTTCATACTTTATTGAGAAAATTCTAATAATTTTAATAAATTTTGTATTCCCTATATCAGTGTTTTTCAACCTTCTTGAATACACGACCCCTTTACAAGTTAAAAAATTCTGGCGACCCCCCAGGGCCATATTTAAACTATATTGGTGATTTTAAAAACTACGTATTTAATTTTCTTTCTTTAAATATTGATTGAAAAACCAATTGTCCTATAAAATAAACAGGCACAGCCTTCTCACTGAAATTCTAGTTTTTTTTTATTGTAGCGTAGGACCTACAAACACTAGTCTTTTTCTTTCACCCACGACCACCCTGGGGGTTGCGACCCACAGGTTGAAAAACACTGCCCTATATTATATCTAATCTGCTGTATCTTTGAATATGTACTGTACTTTATTTATTTATATTTGTTATTTGTTATATTGCTTAATTATGGACTATCATCCATAATTAAGCAATTTTACTTTATTATGTAATGTTATTGTTTTGAATAAATCTGTATATTTACATATTATGCTTTTGTCCACTGTGGATGTTCTTGTGATCTAGGACTTGTTATATTGAGTGAAAAGAAACACATCATTTTGAATTAAGATATATTTATTATATCTTAATTCGAAACGGTATGTTTCTCTTCCCTCAGTATAACAAATTCTAGTTCACAAGAACATCCACAATGGACAAAAGCATAATATATGTAATTAAGGACAAGAAGCATGTATTAAACTGCATATTTATAGTTTAAATCAATTATACAGTAAATTTTAAGTTATTTTTAATTATATTTAAATACAGTAGAGCATCGATTATCCGACCCCCGATTAACCATCACATCGGTTAACCGACCGTTCTAGTCAGCAAAATTCAAATGTCCACTAGTGATGTGGCACTACAATATTTGGCTATGTCTTGGCTACTTTATTATTATTTTATTAAATTTTTGCATGTTTTAGCTGGCATCAACGGCTCGACCATTGAAGGGAGGCCAGTATTTAAACGAGACTTAATTATCTAATTATGAGTGGTTGTTTGTTTTGTGAGCAATAAAATAACTTAAAAATAATTTTTAACGATACAATAGCGACTATTATTATTTTAAAAATAAATTTGTTAGGCTTAACATCGATGAAAATTCAACACGAAGTTAATTAATAGCGATATACTAATTGCATGGGATATACTATACTAATAATATATTTTTTTCATTCTTTTCGGTTATCTGATTTTTTCAGTTATCCGACCAACCTGAGACCCCAATTCAGTCGGATAATAGATGCTCTACTGTATTATGTTTATTATCCACATCAATAATAGGATTTGCATATTAATTTACTATGTATATTTTCATTGTTACATATGAAATTATACTCTTATTTTTAAATTATTTTTTAGAAATATTTTAGCTGCCTGATTATTGTTTTTATAATATAAATGAAGTCTTATTATTTATTTTAAAGTACTTATTAATAAATACTACTTATTAAAATAATTAATGTATATAAGTTATTTTAAAGTATTTGATCAACTGATTTATTTAAATTGTGCATTATTCATGAATTTATTTTATTATTAGACTATGATTCACATTTAATGACTGGTATTAATACTCTGCATTACATCATTTTTAATCATTTTCACACAAATTAGTCAGACACAAAACTTATAAATATACAAATTTCTTCTTCAACTTTTGTGTACATAATCAATGAATGGACACCATTTTGATACAGACTCTGAGGAATTGCATTTCTTTTGTTCTTAGCTAGTAGCTATTGTTGTTAGATCAGTTTATCGTGTAAATATTCCTTTCAGATAATTGTGTGTATATTACACACAAATTTATGATAAGATAAAATGATTATAAAATTTAAATTACATATACAAATGACTCTCTTAATTCATTACCAAAATAATTAAACCAATAACTTGAACTAAATGATTTTTAAATGTGGTGTTTTCATAAATTTATTATTATTACTATTATTATGAAAAAACATTTGATCTCGAAAATATTATTTCCAATGAGTTACTTATTTATTGAATTATAGAATTAGGTTTTTTAACTTTGTTTAAATAAGATGACCTGAGGAGTAAATGACCAGCTACTAGTGAATGACTACCATGGTCATTTGCAGGAATTCTAAGTTAATGTGTCAAATCCATACATGTAAGTTACATCTCATTAATTAGAAAAAAATAGCAACCATACAAAATAATCCTGAACTATTGGGTTGAACCGAAAGTTCGTTCAGGTATTTACATAATAACTCGTCTGTGGCGCCTTTGTCATGCTTATCAGGTTTTAATTTGTTTAGGTTGATATTACAAATATTTGCACATTTATTACATAAGTTTAATAACAAAATTTTAAAAAGTAGCTGTAATCTTTCAAGAAAAATATCATTAAAATGGAAGATAAGAAGGTGCATTTTTGACATTTCCTACTCTATTATTTCCAAAAAGGGAAAAAATGCAACAAAAACTAAAAAAGATGTGTGCTATATATGGGGAGGATGCAGTTACTGATCAAACATGCCAGAAATGGTATTCAAAATTCAGGGAGGGAGATTTTTCACTCAAAGATGCACCTCGGTCAGGACGGCCTTCAACCATAGAAGACGAGTTCGTAACAGCTTTAATTCAAAATGATCGGCGTAAAACAATGCAAGAGATAGATGTTTGGGATATTTTTAAGATGTTGGCTGTTGTCAGACATTTGGCTAGCCTTGGATACACTTCCCTTCATAATGATTAGGTCAATTTAGGTCCCCATCAATTAAGTGAATGAAACCTTATTGAGTGTGTTTCTGTTTGTGATTCACTTTTAAAACACAATGAAGGCAATACCTTTTTAAAGTGATTAATAACAGGCAATGAAAAATGGATCATTTACAACAATATTCAACACAAGAGATCTTGGAGTAAGCCAGGTGATCCTCCAGTGCCACAACCTAAAGCTAGTTTGCATCCCAGAAAAGTAATGATTTCAATTTGGTGGGACTGGAATTGGAAAGGGGTTCTTTATTACAAACTTTTACCCAACAACCAAATAATTAATTCCAATAAATATTGTCTCCAACTGGATGAACTAAAGGCTGCAGTGCATCAAAAACGTCCGGAACTTGCAAATTAACAGAGAGTGGTATTCCATCATGATAATGCAAGACCACACATATCGTTAAATGTACACCAAAGACCTCTAGACTTTAACTGGGATGTTTTGAGTCACCCTGCATATTTTCCAGATATTGTTCCCTCAGACTATCATCTTTTTCGTTCATGGCAAAATAATTTAAATGGCATAGAATTTCAATCTTTAGAAGGTATCAAAACCTTCTAAAGATTGAAATTCTATGCCATATCAATAATTTCTTTGTCAGAAACCCACCCAATTCTACCCAGATGGAATTATGAAACTACCTGTCAGGCAATGTTAGGTTATTGAACAGAAGGGTGAATACATAGAGGATTATAAATTTTTATTTATTTTATTTCTTTCTAAAAATCTAACAAACTTTCGATTCACCCAATACATCTTTACCTTAAATAGCCATTCCCTATATATCTTCTGACAGTTACAATTAAATAATTTAATTTTAATATAGGTTAAAGATATGAAGTTCAGAATATAAACTCAATTTATGTAAAGTTTTGTCATTTAAGTTTTTTTTTGTTAATGCAAAAGATTATTTAAAACAACAGTTATTGAAACAGGTTTGTTTATAATGTGTTTTTTATTTATTCATTACTGTTATAATATATTCATACTTATGTAAAATTTATTCTTCATATTTTTAAATGCAATATATTTTTCCTTCCAATTTTATTTAGATTCTTATTCAGAAGTGGCAATGCTGAGCATCCAGATGACAAATTTTTCAACACAACTGTTGAAATATTACCATCAGAGATTTTAGAAGACAATTCATATCCTGTAACAAGAGATGGTTATTTAATTGTTGGAAGTTTTAAAGATTCAAATGGTGTTGCAGAAGGAACTCTTAATACAAATATTGGCCCTATAAAAGTATTAAGATTAAATGTACATACTCAAAGTGATCGATGGGCCATTCTTAGTGAGGTAATATTAATATATAATTTTTCTTGTGTGTCATTCAGTTTAAACCTGGCCATTACATAATATTTACCTTGCTCTGGATATTACTTACTTTATTACTGTTGTTAACATTTACTGAGAATTTTTGCAATTTATTTTTAAAAATAATAATATGAATTCTAATTAATAAGCAAGAACGTCTGTCATCAAGTCATTGCAACAGATAATAATCATTTTAATATCAATTAGCAATTATTTAATTAATCACCTTTATTAATAGCAAACTACACCAAGTATTGATTTTATGAACATTACAACATTTTTTTTTTGCCAATATTAGCTAACTAATATATCTTAAGAATAAATAGTGATGGGACAATACCAAAATTTCTTCCAATTCATATTATGCTGAAAATTCCTGATTCTGATTCCAATTCTTTTGAATACAGTGGATGATCGGTTAATGAACAGTTCAGACTGCAAACAAATTGGCAACGAAGAACACTTCACAGAACAAACACAAAAAGAAAAGACATAAAATTACAAATGCCAATTGATTTTCCCTTGTCTTCAGGTAACAATTCAAAACCTTTTGAAGCGCGGGAGACATCAACATCGACGCTCAACCCGATACTGATTGGATAGTACTCCTTTAAACTTTGAAACTCTCTATTGTAATTCCAGCTTTTTGTTTACCTTTCTGACAATTTTTTATAGTCTTTGCGAGACTGTTGGGCACTCATTCAGCTGATTGCAGAGACAATGTTTAGAGGCTGATGGCAGTTTACAGATCAGGTAGACTGCAATTCAGAAAAATTTCATTGCAGAGATGTTTCTTGCTTGTCACAGTGTAGACAGCGATTATAAACAAGTTATTTGACCTACTTTCTATATTCACTCAATAGCAGGTTTAGAGGGTTTTTTAATTTGAGTGGTAATGTTGTTGGTGGAAAAGTTTAGATAAAAATGGAGATCATTCCTTTGATAAATGTTGTAAACAGTATGAATCGACAAAATTATTCATTAATTAATTGCTTGGAGCAAAAATAACAAAATTAAATACTTTAAATTTGTTTTAAATGTTCCAATTCTAATATTCAAATGGGTGAAGACTTTACAATTAATTTAAATCAGATGCATTTATTTACAATCCAAGTATCATGTCGGTTATAAAACGTTAATGCATTTTAGGGTCATTGTAGTTAATCCTATAGTCAGAACATAATTTTAAAATTGTCTCGTTTGTTTAACAGTATCAAAATCTTTTTATAGAAATAAAAGAATGTAATAGTAATAATAAAATATTTTAAATTATTCATTTTGACAGTTACGAAGGGAGACAGTAATACAACATTGAAATAATTCCTTAAAAATCTATTCTGAAGACGAATTTCAAATTTGGTATAAATTTCCTAAATATGGATTTGTTCTTATTTTAAACCATATTGACAAAGTAATTAAATATCAAAATGGAAAAGGATTGTCATTAATTTCCGAACAGTGGTTGTTGACAGACTTAAGATTTTATTTTCGGAATCTTTCGGAATATAGCTGGCGACCTTTTCTGACATCACAAATGAATAACCCGATTGGCTGAATGACTCCTAAAACAGAGGAGTAATGGCCAAGAAAGTAAGAGCCACTGTTTTGCCAAAGTTTGTTTAGAGGGCATTTAGAAATAGTCTTTGCAACACATTTTAAACCACAGTTCAGCCAGCCAATGTCTACAGGCTGTTCTGTTGTTAAATGTTGTTTAATATAAACTCTGTCTCCTCTGCAGTCGCCTGATTAAGTTTTGCATCTGTTTTTATTTTTTAAAGGTGAGAGTTTAACATCCTATCTGATATTCATTAACGTTTTAACACCAAAATTTCAAATTTCATTTGGGCCTCATATTTACTTAATTCTTTCATGTGCTAGTTGATTTCTCTGAACTTTTTATTTCAAAAAGAAATTGATAATATTATAGAGCCTAAAAAGAGTGGTGTGTCAAGAACCATGCTCACCATAGAAACCAAATGAGATAATAGCCAAGTGGGCAGAAGATGTCTGATGTTGCTAGACAGTATGGTTTGAACAGATCTACAGTAGGCACAATCTTAGCTAAGAAAGATATAATCAAGGAGCCAAAGGAGTAACAAAAATCACATCTGAGAAACAAAGATGTGTCATCCATGAAAAAGTGGAGAGATTGCTTTTAATTTGGGTAAAAGAAAGGGAAATGAAAAGAGATGTAACTAGTATAACTATCATTCAAGAGAAAGCTAGAGAAATTTTTGAAGAACTGAAGAAACAAACTCCACATTTATCACATGAGGACATAGAATTCAAGGCTACCACTGGATGGTTTGCAAAGTTTAGAAGGAGATCTGGCATTAATCATGTAGTAATTCACAGTGAGTCTGCTAGTGCAGGTGAAGAAGCTGAGAAGTTCTGTCTCAAATTTGAAGAATTCATTAAAAAAGAATAATATTGTCTACAACAAATTTTCAATTGTGATGAAACTGGTTTATTTTGGAAGTGCATGCCGAACTGTACCTACATCATGAAAGACAAAAAAATATTCCTGGACATAAACCCATGAAAGACCAATTGACGTTATTTTTGGGAGCTAATGCTAGTGGCGATATGAAACTTATCCCACATCTTGTCTTTCACTTTGAGAACCTTAGATTATTCAAAACAAATTCCATAATTAAAAAAATGCAAGTGGTGTGGAGAATGAATGAAAGGGTATGGTTCTCTTTTCAAAGAATGGCTGTTTGAAGTTTGTGCTCCAAGTATCAAGGATTACCTTCAGACCAATGAATTGCCATTGAAAGCACTGTTGCTATTGGACAATGCACCAGGACACCCAAAAGACCTTGAAGATAATTTGCTGGAAGACTTTCCCTGGCTGACAGTTCAGTTTCTGTCTCCGAATACCACTTTGTTGATTCAACCAATGGATCAAGAGGTTATTTCAGGTTTCAAGAAATTGTACATTCAAGCACTGTTTTGTTTGTGTTTTGAAGCATGCCAGTTCTCCTCAATGATGAAATTTTCAAAGTTTTCTTTCTAAAACGTTTTGATTCTTGATGCTATACAGTTCATTCTTCTAATGTATTACAAGATATACCTCACTATTAACAACATGATAGTCAGGTTCAACGACTGGAAAGTCTATCCAGCTCGAGACCCTGGCTATCGCATCAAGGCTGGTATTATCATCAGGAACAAAAACATTAATGCCTGCCTCGTTTTCCAACATACCACAGAATACATTACCACCATCTGGGTTACAGACAATAACACTCACCTTTACATATGTTACAACCTATTCAAGACTCCACTAACATTGAGATGGCCATAGAAGCCATTCATCATCTCCTGAACAAAGATAAACCTATCCTAATAGGAAGTGACTTCAATGCCAAGCCTGTGATCTGGCATAGTCCAAAAGATGACCCTAGGGGGTAACATAGTTAACAAAACCATGGCTCAACACAACCTTACTCACTTAAACACCAGCACCCTTCTGACCTAATCTTGTACCACGGGAGAAAGTTGAACCTAACATTAGGAAACAGTCATATCACCCCTTGGGTCAACTACTGTTATAACTCACCCTTTTAGGAATTTAAAGGAATTTTAAGATAATTTAAACATATTGTTTGATGCATTCCATATTTGAATTGTACTGGTCAAAAGCCTGAGGAAGACCATGAATATGGTCAAAAACATTGGTTTTATTTAATTTTTATCATTACTGGGATATAATAAGGTTCTCGTGTGTTAATTATCCTTCCCAGTGATTCTGAGAGTTGTTTTTTTTTTTCCACTGTTATAACACCGACATAGATTCTGTCAGTGACCATAGGTATATCTTCACTCAACTGAACACTACTAGTAATACTAATAATCATAGTTTTCACTACACTCGCACTAACTGGCATTATTTCACAACACCTTCAATAACATTTGTGCTGGTATCTGTCACCATAATCACTCTACCTTAGACCATCTTGTCACCAGGCTTACAAATACAATCACTAACTCTTACATTACAATGTTTGAATTTGGAAGCAATAAACACAAAAATGTTTGTTGGTGGACCACTGAGCTAGAAAACAAGAAAATAGTAATTAGGAGATTAAGGAGGCAATTTAGGAATGAACAGGATCCGGACGTTAAAGTCACACTTAAGATTAGTACAGGCACGAACACAATGCTTACAAAATCCTTATAAATCCAAGAAGGTTCAGAAATCCTTCCAAGTGTTAGTCTAACACTTGCAGTTGCAATCCCTGGTCAGAACAGTACTACTTAGCTTGTAAGAAAAAAATGCCAACTCCAAACCCCCTTCACTATCTAGCTCCCAGATGGTCGGTATGTTACCGCTAAAGCTCGAAATCCGTTAATGTGCACATTACCTAGCTAATCTGCACATTAACTAGGGTGATCCGTTAAAGTTGCTAAAATTGTTCTATTTCTCAAATTACCTAGGTAATGTGCAGAGTATCTAGGTAATCTGCACATTACCTACTAGGCACTCGGTAAAGTGAAAATAAGATTTTTGCTGGAACAACAGCAACGTTTCTGTATGCTTAAATTAACATAATGTTATTTGTTTAATTTTCAATATCTAAAGAATCAAGTTAATACAATCAAACAATCAACAAATTAGTTGATTGAATCAATCATCAATCAATTTAAAAAACTTTAATAAAAAAATCAAATGGTTTAAAATATTATTACTATTAGGGAAATGAATTTGCAAAACATATGATAAAGTTGTACTTACTTATTAGTGCAATCTAAAGATTGGTGACACTTTGAATTACATAGCAATTGGTTTTTGCGACAAGCATGCCTATTTGTGGTACAGTACATTTAGATTTGCAGTCATATTTTCTGAAACCCTGCCCAGTACCAAGGGATTGTTTTATTGCTCTTTGACGTAAAGATATTTCTACAGCTGGGTCATCCATCTTCTTTCGTTAAAAATCTCTCTTTGCAAACACTGAATTCAGATTTTGCATACAATTGTTTTGAAATACCTGTTTTAGTATCAAGTTTATAAAAGCCATCCTCTGTCTTACTAAGAACCACAGCTAAAATTGAACGTGCATCAGTTTTTGCTCTATCTTCTTTGGGTACTTTAATTCTCACAGCGAAACCTTCATCGATGTTTGGGTGCTCTGCATTAGAAACTGCTAACATTTTCTTTGCTTGCTTTTCTAAACATTTCTT